AACACGAAACAATGGGTATTGAATGGAAGTGATTTGTAGAAAGCCTATTGGTCCATATTTCTTGATGATTCTATATTGGAGCGGAGTCTTGAGGTGGGTAGAATATAGTTGTGCATTAATTGGCTGTTGATTGCTGGTGTTGACTTCTTGATGTGTAGAGCCTCGCAGACATCAAGCCGCCTGCTATCGCTGTATCTATCGATGATTTCTGTGTTGTTTACTAGGATTTCTCTGGTGATGGTTTGTTTGTGGGAAGAGATTATATGCTCCTTAGTGGAGCCCTGTTGCTTATGCATCGTTAAACGCCTGGAAAGAGATGTTGTTGTCTTGCCTATATACTGTTTTTTTTAGGCTTACAGTCCCCAAGAGGGCATTTGAAGGCATAGACGACGTTGGTCTCTTTTAAAGCGTTCTGCTTTGTGCCTGGAGAGTTTCTCATGAGTAGGCTGGCCGTTTTTCTGGTTTTGTAGTAAATCGTCAGTTGTATCTTCTAATTTTTGTCTGTAGGGATAAAATTTCTACTGACAATATCTTTCAGGACCCTTTCCTCTGTTTTATGGGCTGTGGAAAAGAAGTTCCTGTAAAATAGTCTAATAGGGGGTATAGGTGTTGTGTTAGTTGTCTCTTCAAAGGTTGCATGGCGTTTCACTTTCCTTCTTATGATGTCGTCCACTGAACCATTGGAGAAGCCGTTGTTGACTAGGACCTGCCTTACCCTACAGAGTTCTTCGTCGACTTGCCTCCATTCTGAGCTGTGGCTGAGAGCACGGTCGACATAAGCGTTAACAACACTCCTCTTGTACCTGTCCGGGCAGTCACTGTTGGCATTGAGGCACATTCCTATGTTTGTTTCCTTAGTGTAGACTGCAGTGTGGAAAACTTCGCTCTTCTCCATGACTGTTACATCTAGAAAGGGCAGCTTCCCATCCTTCTCCATCTCGTAAGTGAAACGCAACACAGAATTCTGCTCAAATGCCTCCTTCAGCTCCTGCAGATGTCTGACATCAGGTACCTGTGTAAAAATGTCGTCAACATACCTGCAGTATATGGCCGGTTTCAAGTTCATGAGGAGCGGAGTTTTCCACACTGCAGTCTACACTAAGGAAACAAACATAGGAATGTGCATAGTAAGCTGAGAAGTGCTTCTGGCTACTAGGTACGACATATATATATATATATATATATATATATATATATATATATATATATATATATATATATATATATATATATATATATATATATATATATATATATATATATATATATATATATATATATATGTTTCATTGAATATGACTGCATATTCTGTATTTATTATTTTCTGGTTTAGGGCTTCTATCCCTCTAACTATTTTCTTAGCATCAGGGCTTAATTGAAATAGGAGTTCTCCAAAACTCATTTTCGTACTTTTAAGGTGAAGAAAAGAAGTGATTTACTATAGAGTGTATTACACTTATTTGTATAATTTGCACGACGTTTCGAACCTCCATGGTTCATTCTCAAGTGAACAGATCTTACAATACTAGTTGATTTTATACCCGCATTAGGTCAGGTGATATTACAATGAAGGTGAAAACATGGGGGGATACATAAGGGATAAACATAGGGGCTGCAGAAGGCTTATTGGCCCATACGAGGCATCTCCTATCTAAACACAAAGATTAATCCAGTGTAATTGGCCTGTTATGTTGGACATTGTCTTCTGTGTTGGCATCGATATGTTCTTGTCTTGTCCTTACTCTCATGGTGGGTAGAGTAAATAGTTCCGTGATTTGGGTGTTCATGGTAGGTCGCTCTATTCTTATGTGAATTGCCTCAAGAATTTGTAATCTTCTTGAATCTTGGGTTTTGTCTATTATGCAAGTATTCTTGTTCAACATTTCTCTTGTTAGAGTAATGTCATGGGCTTGTCTCATGTGATTCCTAGGGGCACCAGATTGAAGATGGCATGTCAAACGCCTCGTCAGCTTGGTCGACGTCATACCTATGTACTTACATTGAAGGTTACATCCTTCGTGGGGGCAAGTGTACATGTATACAACGCTTGACTGCTGTAGAGGGTTCTCCGTCGGCTTCGGGCTGTTTTTGATAAGGAGTTCGGAAGTCTTCTTGGTTTTGTAGAATATTATCAGGTTTATGTTTTGGTTAGGAGTAGTGCTTTTTACTCCTTTACGGATTATTTCTTTCATTATTCTTTCCTCTTTTATATGTTCACTGTGCATGGTTGATTTGTAATATAATTTTATTGGGGGTGTTGTGGTTTCTGTTCTAGGTTCTGAATTATACCAACGGTCAAAGTGTCTTCTTATAGCAGCGTTTATTTCCGCGTTGCTATATCAGTTGTTCACCAATACCTGAGTTACTCTTTCAAACTCTCTACTCACGTTGCTCCATTCTGAGCAGTGGGTAAGCGTTCGACGAATATAAGCATTGAGAACACTGGCTTTGTATCTTTGGGGGCACTCACTTCTACCGTGGGTCCCTACAATTGCACCAGAGGAGGTACCCCCCCTATATATATATATATATATATATATATATATATATATATATATATATATATATATATATATATATATATATATATATATATATATATATATATATATATATATATATCCACTTGATCCACTTGACCATCACGACCGGACATAATGAGGTGATAGCCGAGGCTATTTGAACCACCCCACCGCCGGCACTCGGATAGTAATCTTAGGCATAGCATTTTACCAAATCACCTCATTCTTTGGGGCACACGTGAGGAACACAAATGCGAACAAGCCTGAATGGTCCCCAGGACAATATGCAACTGAAAACTCACACCCCAGAAGTGACTCGAACCCATACTCCCAGGAGCCACGCAACTGGTATGTACAAGACGCCTTAATCCACTTGACCATCACGACCGGACATAATGAGGTGATAGCCGAGGCTATTTGAACCACCCCACCGCCGGCACTCGGATAGTAATCTTAGGCATAGCATTTTACCAAATCACCTCATTCTTTGGGGCACACGTGAGGAACACAAATGCGAACCTGGGGACCATTCAGGCTTGTTCGCATTTGTGTTCCTCACGTGTGCCCCAAAGAATGAGGTGATTTGGTAAAATGCTATGCCTAAGATTACTATCCGAGTGCCGGCGGTGGGGTGGTTCAAATAGCCTCGGCTATCACCTCATTATGTCCGGTCGTGATGGTCAAGTGGATTAAGGCGTCTTGTACATACCAGTTGCGTGGCTCCTGGGAGTATGGGTTCGAGTCACTTCTGGGGTGTGAGTTTTCAGTTGCATATTGTCCTGGGGACCATTCAGGCTTGTTCGCATTTGTGTTCCTCACGTGTGCCCCAAAGAATGAGGTGATTTGGTAAAATGCTATGCCTAAGATTACTATCCGAGTGCCGGCGGTGGGGTGGTTCAAATAGCCTCGGCTATCACCTCATTATGTCCGGTCGTGATGGTCAAGTGGATTAAGGCGTCTTGTACATACCAGTTGCGTGGCTCCTGGGAGTATGGGTTCGAGTCACTTCTGGGGTGTGAGTTTTCAGTTATATATATATATATATATATATATATATATATATGTCGTACCTAGTAGCCAGAACGCACTTCTCAGCCTACTATGCAAGGCCCGATTTGCCTAATAAGCCAAGTTTTCATGAATTATTATATTTTCTCTAATTTTTTTCTTATGAAATGATAAAGCTACCCATTTCATTATGTATGAGGTCAATTTTTTTTTATTGGAGTTAAAGTTAACGTAGATATATGACTGAACCTAACCAACCCTACCTAACCTAACCTAACCTATCTTTATAGGTTAGGTTTGGTTAGGTAGCCGAAAAAGTTAGGTTAGGTTAGGTTAGGTAGTCGAAAAAACATTAATTCATGAAAACTTGGCTTATTAGGCAAATCGGGCCTTGCATAGTAGGCTGAGAAGTGCGTTCTGGCTACTAGGTACGACATATGTATATATATATATATATATATATATATATATATATATATATATATATTATATATATATATATATATATATATATATATATATATATATATATATATATATATAGATATATATATATATATATATTTATCTTAAGTTTAAATATTATAAGTTTATACTTGTTCCTTGTTGAACAAGGACACTTGTTGAATATTTGTTCCTAGTTGTTCATACTTGTATACTTATTATGCCCGAAACGCTATGCGTACTAGTAACTTTAGGTATTGTATGTACTGCTCTATCTATAAATCCAACATTATGTTTGTAAATCAACTATGTATGTACTTTCCTGAATAAAATTTACTTTACTTTACTTACTTGTGTTTGTGTTGCTCCCTCACAAGTAACTGGTGCCTTGTTTGGCTAAAACAGGGTTTTTCGGAATCGGACCTTTAGACATGTTTGATATATGTTAGGCCTGGGTGATAATTATCTCTGTATAGAAGGAACAAGCAGACCTTACGAAGAGGAGTGATTAACAGGGTGTTGTTGTCCTGCTCCTAGATAGTAGGAAATGGTGTAATATTGTTATTTTCTACTAACATTTCCTATGTCATTGTAAATATATTATTTTTCGTATTACAGAAACGTACAAAATAATAAGGAAGTGCATCAGAGGCTTGTAATTAACACCAACAAACAAGAAATCGTTACTTTTTTCCTTTAGTTATCTTGTTGCCACACAACCATAACTTATACATACAGTACTCCAGTAAAATTCCTCTGCTCACAACGAAGGTAATTTGTCCATTTGCTTGTCAAAGCAACTTTTACTTTTATTAATATGTTGCTAAATAAAGGTCTTTTCCTGTTATTAGTAAACCGCAGAATTGTGCATCATTAAGTTAAAGCAACGCTTCATTATTGATTCATTGCTGTACAATTTCTATACCTATCATCCTCTGACTTGACTATTATTTAGCACATTGGCAGCAACAATAAAACTTTCACTAATTAAACAATGACATATCGTCTTTTTTTAATAAACAAGAGTAAGTTTTTATCATATAGTTTATTATCCTTTTACTCAACATTCAATTTATGGAAAATATTTTACCAAAAGCAAGAACAATTAAATTTTGGAAGATACATACAAAGTTATTAGTTTTTAACCCTTTATCTGCACATAGTAACTAGGGTCGCTTCTTTGGAGGTGAGCACCGTGACCTTTTAGCGCTTTTAGGTCTGGCATAAGATTTCAAACACCTGCGGGTACACAGAGCTTATGCCCGAGGTCTCCAGTTAACAGATTGCATGATAGGAATAAAAATCCTGGGCACATCTCCAGGGAGTGAGTGCCTCTGTACTAACACAGCGGTCATGGGCAGCAGTCCTATTGATGTTGCCAAAGTGAAACAAACAGCCACACCACACAGCCTTGGTTTCTTGCCTCACCACATCATGCTATTGGACTCAGTGTTTGTTTAGAAAAAGAATGAGAAAAAGATTCATATTCAGGATTTAGTGATTATGATCATGACATCTTCATGGCTAGATTCGGGACAACGATATCATGGATCGATTTGAGACAAGGTCTTCATGGCTGGATTGTGGAGAAAAATGATTGTGGCTTCCCAGATTTGGCACCTTTACTTGATAAATTGCCTGCTTACTCTGCATCATTTTCTGTTGTTGATGATGATGTTGAGAGGTTTGGGAAAATTAAACAATACAGTTTTGGGATCCTTCTTCAAGTCCAGCTCATCTCCTTCAGGAACTGAGAAGGTGAAGTTCTGTAGAAGTGCTGACAGAAAAAGGTAGAGGTTCATACGGGCCAAAGCCTCACCAGGGCACACTCGTCGACCTGGAAGAGCATTGTGTAAGTTACGTAACAGTCAATTTTCAGAGGATTTCATTCTTTAGAAGCTACTATACTTGAAGAAACAAATTAATATTTTAGACAGCCATTGCTTAGAACCCTTTATGAACGTATTATTTCTGGAAAGTTTCCATTCAATACCTGAGAATCTTAGACAACGAATACTTTTGTTTTATTGTTTCATGTCTTGGTTATTGGATAAATACACGAGAAATAATATTTTTCTTGTAATAACATTTTTTCACTTACCAATGGAGAAAGGAATGTAACTCTTCTTCTTGGTATCAAATTTGCCTTCACTATCGAGAAAATGTTCTGGATAAAATTCGTTAGGCTTCTCCCAGTAGGCTGGATCATTGTGGCACATTTCGATGTTAGGAACGATTATTGTGCCCTAAGAAACAATGTTATTAAAAGTTACTTCGTGAAGAAGGCAAGATCAAATTAAATAATAAAGTGAAATTGTTTTGACAACTTGATTAATAATTATTATTGCATCCAAAAACTTACTGGTACACGATTTTGCAGCAACAATTTAATTTTCCCATGTTAAATCTCATGATAAGCTGCACAACATAACTTCCCTTAACAGTAAGTGCAACATTGCTTGTAGTGTTTTTTAGTAATGGAGAACACAAAGAAGAAATTAGCATTTATGTTAAGAGTTATGCAGAGATATTCCTAGTCTTATATCAAAGGGATATAATCAATCTTTCTGCATCTCTGTCCCACATGTACCAATTTCTGGAACAGAGGGAATACAGTGAACATATACAGCATGCATCGACATGATAAAGTATCTAAATTATTAAGACTGTCTCAAAGCTCACAAAATGTACTCTCTAGAAAGAAGGTGTGAAAGAAGCAGCACTTACACTGGAAGACACTGGAGGGCCAGGTCCTAAATGTGTACAGTTACATATCATATTAGAGTAAACAGTATGGTAGGAAATGCAGAGTAGAGGTGCCGTACACACTACCAGAGGGCACTGCGGGAACATCAGAGGTCCACGGCTATTCAGTATCTTTTTAACACCAAAAGAAATATTGTTGGAACAACAGTAGAAATGCTCAAGAAACAATTAGGCAAGTTTCTGCAAGAAGTGCCAGACCAACTGGGCTGTAGTAGATGCAGGCCGCTTCAAGCAACAGCATGTTGGACCAAGTTGTCAGAAGCCAATCCCCAGGCCGGGTTTGGGGAGTATAACTCCCAGAACCCACTCCTATACCAGAAACACTCAACTAATCGTTAACCTTACCTAGATGGTCTTGTGTATGTAGCCTTAATATAGTGTGTTCAGCCGAGCAGTACAGACAATTATAGCATACCTGGTTGATGGGGTTCTGGGAGTTCTTCTACTCCCCAAGCTCGGCCCGAGGCCAGACTTGACTTGTGAGAGTTTGGTCCACCAGGCTGTTGCTTGGAGTAGCCCTCAGGCCCACATACCCATCTCAGCCTGGTTGGTCCGGCACTCCTTGAAGAAAACAATCTAGTTTCCTCTTGAAGATGTCCACGGTTGTTCCTGCAATATATCTGATGCTCGCTGGTAGGACGTTGAACAACTGTGGACCTCTGATGTTTATACAGTGTTCTCTGATTGTGCCTATGGCACCTCTGCTCTTCACTGGTTCTATTCTGCATTTTCTTCCATGTCGTTCACTCCAGGACGTTGTTATTTTACTGCGCAGATTTGGGATCTGTCCCTCCAGTATTGTCCATGTGTATATTATTTGGTATCTCTCTCGTCTCCTTTCTATTGAGTACATTTGGAGAGCTTTGAGACGATCCCAATAATTTACGTGCTTTATCTAGTCTATGCGTGCCGTATATGTTCTCTGTATTCCCTCTATTTCAGCAATCTCTCCTGCTCTGAAGGGGGAAGTGAGTACTGAGCAGTACTCAACACGGGACAACACAAGTGATTTGAAGAGTACAACCATTGTGATGGGATCTCTGGACTTGAAGGTTCTCGTAATCCATCCTATCATTTTTCTGGCTGACGCAATACTTGCTTGGTTATGCTCCCTAAACGTTAGGTCGTCGAACATCATTATTCCCAAATCCTTGACATGCTGTTTTCCTACTATGGGCAGATTCGATTGTGTTTTGTACCCTATATTATGTTTAAGATCCACATTTTTGCCATATGTGAGTACCTGGAATTTATCACCGTTAAACATCATGTTATTTTCTGCTGCCCAATCGAAAACTTTGTTAATACCTGTTTGTAGTTTATCAATGTCTTCAGCAGAGGTAATTTTCATGCTGATTTTTGTATCATCTGCAAAGGATGACACGAAGCTGTGACTTGTGTTTTTGTCTATATCTGATATGAGAATAAGGAACAGCAGTGGTGTAAGGACTGTAACTTGAGGTACAGAGCTTTTAACTGCGCTCGGACTCGATTTTACTTGATTGACTGTTACTCTTTGTGTTCGGTTCGACAGGAAATTGAGTATCCAGCGTCCTACTTTACCAGTTATACCCATTGACCTCATTTTGTGTGCAATCACTCCATGGTCACATTTGTCGAATGCCTTTGCAAAATTTGTGTATACGACATCTGCATAATGTTTTTCTTCTAATGCCTCAGTGATTTTTGTCATAGTGGTCAAGTAGCTGTGAGAGGTATGATCTTCCTGCTCTAAATTCATGTTGGCCTGGATTGTGGAGGTCATTGGTTTCCATGAATCTAGTGACCTGACTCCTAATCACTCTCTCAAATACTTTTATTATGTGGGACGCTAGTGCAACTGGTCTATAATTCTTTGCCAATGCTTTGCTACCACCCTTGTGTAGAGGGGCAATGTCTGCTGCTTTAAGCGCATCTGGTATCTTCCCTGTGTCCAAGCTCCTCCTCTACACTATACTGAGTGCCTGTGCTACTGGCACTTTGCATTTCTGTATAAATATTGAATTCCATGAGTCTGGACCCGGGGCTGAGTGCATGGGCATATTGTCAATTTCTCTTTCAAAATCTGCTATGCTCGTGTTGGTATCAGTTATATTTACAGGTGTTTGAATATCATTCATACAGAAATTGTCCGAATTTTCCACTTTCATGCTAAGTATCGGAGTGCTAAACATGTCCTCATGCTGGTTTTTTTTAGGATTTCACTAATTTTTTTGTCATCCTCCGTGTATGAACCTTCATTAATACGAATAGGTCCAACACTGGCAGTGGTTTTCGCTTTTGATTTAGCATATGTGAAGAAATATTTTGGGGTTTTCTTTATTTATTGAATTGCTTTCTGGTCTAGTTGCCTTTCTTCAGTCTGATAGGAATGCTTCAGTCTCTGTTCGATTTCTTCAATCTCCCTGTTTAAATTATTTCTTCTCTGTATTAAGAGTTGTGTCTGCTTAAGCATTTCCGTTAATTTCTTCCTTCTTTTGTAATGTCGTCTGCGTTCTCTTTCTACATTGGACCTCTTTCTGGCTTTCCTCAAAGGAACATGTTTCAGACAGACTTCATATGCTTCAGAAGTCAGTTATTCTATTCCTTGTGTAGGATTTTTATTTCTTAGAACATTTTCCCATTGAATGTTTGTAAGTTCCCTGTTTATTTTCTCCCAGTCTATCCTCTTATTATTAAAATTTAATTTATTGAATAACCCTTCTCGCTTGTGGTTTCTCTTGGGCCTACTACCATTATTAATGTTAGTTTGCACTTCAATGAGCTGAGCTTGTGGTCCGAGTACGTAGTGTCCGAGACAGTAATGTCTCTAATTAGCTCCTCATTGTTCGTGAATATCAGGTCCAGCGTGTTTTCGTTCCTAGTTGGTTCTGTAATCTGATGACTGAGCGAGAAATTGTCACTGAATCTCAGTAGTTCTCTGACCTGTGGTTGGTTATTTCCAGGTTGATATCCTGCTATAATGTTATTGTTTACTATTCTCCATTTTAAACTGGGTAGATTGAAGTTTCCAAGGAAGATGATATCTGGTACTGGCTTTCCTAAGTTATCAAGGATATTCTCTATTTTGTGGATCTGTTCAGTGAATTCCTCAATTGTTGCATCTGGCGGTTTGTATATTAAAATAATAAGTAGATTCATATTTTCTACCTTGATTCCAAGTACCTCTACCACCTCATTGGACGAGTTCAGGAGCTCTGTGCATGCCAGCTCCTCTTTAATATACAGACCTACTTCTCCACTTGACCTAATTACTCTGTCACATTTATATAGATTATAATTCGGAATCCAGATATCCATGTGGTCTTTTGTGTGGGTTTCTGTAAATGCACCAAATATTGAGTTCGATTCTATTAGGAGGCCATTTATGAACTTAACTTTAATTCTTGATTTTGGTTTCAAGCCTTGTATGTTTGCAAATATGAATGATTTCCCACATTGCGTGTCACTTCTGGTGGGCTTTGGTAGTTCTCGCCCGAATCTACCCAGGTTCAGTGTGTGTTGTTTTGGAAGTGGTTCGTCCAGTTTTGGTAGTAGGGAGGGTGTTGTGTGGTGTAGTACCTGTGTGCGTGTTGATAATTTGTATTCCAGTCTTGTTGGTATCTCCCTTCCGCTCTGTAATCCTGTAGTGGTTCCATCTTACTGTTCCTCTCTCTTATATTTTAAACTCTGTTTCTGCCTTCCTCTAAAAAATTTCCAGTAGTGTCATATTGATCTTCCCGTCTTTAACACTGTGTACCTCTCACGTGGAGCATAACAAAACAAGTTTTCTGTACATTTAGCGTGGTGAAGCTGGCCACTCATTAAGCATAAACATTGATATGGTGATACTCCGTGTGCGTGTGTGTGTCTGTACAAATTTTGTATGATAGAACTGGTATTCTAAGAGTGCGTATTTTTAACATTGTGAAGCTGTGTACCTGTGGCATAATGATGTCAGCAGTACTATTACTGTGTATTTATCGATTAAATGCAGTGCGAGTGTGTTTACCTTTGGTATGGTGTAGCCAGCAAGTTGGGTGTCAGTAATTGCAGAGTGAGACACTCCCAAGGGTACTAAGGATACATGTCGGCTCACCTCATTGATCACAGCTTCAAGGTAGGCTAGTCTGAGGGGCAGAGATGTGTTAAAGATGGTAATAATAAGTTATCAGCAGCATTATGTTGGATTCTAGCTAGAAAAACGTTGGTTTAGAATATAATTTGGTAAACACTGATTAGGAAATAAGGTTTAAGATGTGTGAATAAAAGCAGAGGCATTATATAAGCCAATTCACTGGAAATATCTCATCGTGGGATGGATAAATATACGAGTGAAAATGGAAGTGTATTAACAAAATCTCTTCTGCACAGCCTCACATGGGCTAATAAACTAAAGCTGCTTCACTTAGGCCAAACAGTAATGTATTTTGAAGTAAGAAAGGTCTGACAGTATTTATACAGAAAAGTAGTGAAGGAGGGTTTTTGTGACCAGTTATACAGTCTTGTACTGTATTGTTTGCCATAATAATTTGCATTTGTCGGTTAGAAGGACAATAAATTTACTAACTAAATAACTTTGTAGATTTATATATATATATTTTTACCTAATACAACATGCTAAACATACCTGGGCTTGTCTTGGAGGGAGGGAAGGTGTGTCCTGGGAACCACCTCATCAATCTGGTGTTGAAGTTTGGCCTGGATCTCAGGGTACTTGGCCATGTACATTAGGACCCAACGAAGTGTCTGGTTGGTTGTCTCACTCCCGGCTGTGAACAGATCTGCTACTTGCACCCACAGGTCCTCCTCTGTTAGGGTACAGTGGTCAGGGTAGAGGGTTTAGTTAGGATTGATTGGTTGATGAAGATTACGCCAGCCAAGAGGTGACAATTTCTTGAACTGTGTCGGAAAGCCCCCGACACAACTTACTAATACATATACATATATATATATATATATATATATATATATATATATATATATATATGTCGTACCTAGTAGCCAGAACTCACTTCTGAGCCTACTATGCAAGGCCCGATTTGCCTAATAAGCCAAGTTTTCATGAATTAATTGGTTTTCGACTACCTAACCTACCTAACCTAACCTGACCTAACTTTTTCGGCTACCTAACCTAACCTTACCTATAAAGATAGGTTAGGTTAGGTTAGGTAGGGTTGGTTAGGTTCGGTCATATATCTACGTTAATTTTAACTCCAATTAAAAAAAATTGACCTCATACATAATCAAATGGGTAGCTTTATCATTTCATAAGAAAAAAATTAGAGAAAATATATTAATTCAGGAAAACTTGGCTTATTAGGCAAATCGGGCCTTGCATAGTAGGCCAAAAAGTGCGTTCTGGCTACTAGGTACGACATATATATATATATATATATATATATATATATATATATATATATATATACATACGGAAAGCCCCCGACACAACTTATATATATATATATATATATATATATATATATATATATATATATATATATATATATATATATATATATATACATATATATATATATATATATATATATATATATATATATATACATACATATATATTATTAAATATGACCGAAAAAGTAAGATTAATAATTCTAACACGAATTTTCTCGATCTTTCGTATGTTTCTTTTCACTGTTGGTGGTAATTCAAAAATCAATTCTCCAAAATTCATTTTTATTTCTAGTCTGACGCGACACTTGAGCGCGTTTCGTAAAACTTATTACATTTTCAAAGACTTTAGCTTACACATACACAACTGAATAGAACTTACACATCTTCGATTTGTTTATATCTACATTTGAGTGAGGTGGAAGGGGTGAGGTGGTATTAATAGGGTATTAAATTCCTAAACACAAGACAGAACACGAAATAATGGGTATAGAATGGAAGTGATTTGTAGAAAGCCTATTGGTCCATATTTCTTGATGCTTCTATATTGGAACGGAGTCTTGAGGTGGGTAGAATATAGTTGTGCATTAATTGGCTGTTGATTGCTGGTGTTGACTTCTTGATGTGTAGAGCCTCGCAAACGTCAAGCCGCCTGCTATCGCTGCATCTATCGATGATTTCTGTGTTGTTTACTAGGATTTCTCTGGCGATGGTTTGGTTGTGGGAAGAGATTATATGTTCCTTAATGGAGCCCTGTTGCTTATGCAACATTAAACGCCTAGAAAGAGATGTTGTTGTCTTGCCTATATACTGGGTTTTTTGGAGCTTACAGTCCCCAAGAGGGCATTTGAAGGCATAGACGACGTTGGTCTCTTTTAAAGCGTTCTGCTTTGTGTCTAGAGAGTTTCTCATGAGTAGGCTGGCCGTTTTTCTGGTTTTATAGTAAATCGTCAGTTGTATCCTCTGATTTTTGTCTGTAGGGATAACGTTTCTATTAACAATATCTTTCAGGACCCTTTCCTCTGTTATATGAACTGTGGAAAAGAACTTCCTGTAAAATAGTCTAATATAGGTATAGGTGTTGTGTTAGTTGTCTCTTCAGAGGTTGCATGGCGTTTCACTTTCCTTCTTATGATGTCATGACGAAACCATTGGAGAAGCCGTTGTTGACTAGGACCTGCCTTACCCTACAGAGTTCTTCGTCGACTTGCTTCCATTCTGAGCTGTGGCTGAGAGCACGGTCGACATAAGCGTTAACAACACTCCTCTTGTACCTGTCTGGGCAGTCGCTGTTGGCATTTAGGCTCTTTCCTATGTTCGTTTCCTTAGTGTAGACTGCAGTGTGGAAACCTCCGCTCTTTTCCATGACTGTTACATCTAGAAAGGGCAGCTTCCCATCCTTTTCCATTTCGTAAGTGAAACGCAGCACGGAACTCTGCTCAAACGCCTCCTTCAGCTCCTGCAGATGTCTGACATCAGGTACCTGTGTAAAAATGTCGTCAACATACCTGCAGTATATGGCCGGTTTCAAGTTCATTTCGACTAAGACTTTCTGCTCGATGGTACCCATGTAGAAGTTTGCAAACAGGACACCTAGGGGAGAACCCATGGCGACCCCATCTACTTGCTTATACATGTGCCCATCCGGGCTCAAGAAGGGTGCCTCTTTAGTATAAGCTTGGAGTAGTTTCCTTAGGATGTTTTCTGGTATGTCAAGAGGAGTGCAGGCCGGATCACGATACACTCTGTCGGCTATCATCCCAATTGTCTCGTCCACAGGTACGTTGGTAAACAGTGATTCTACATCCAACGAGGCTCTTATCCCTGTAGCCCGTGTGCCCCGCAGTAAGTCAACAAATTCCTTTGGAGACTTCAGGCTGAAGGCGCAAGGGACATAAGGAGTCAGCAGGCCGTTGAGTCGCTTCGCCAGTCTGTACGTGGGTGTGGGTATCTGGCTGATGATTGGCCGAAGTGGGTTTCCAGGCTTGTGTGTCTTGACATTTCCATACGCATATCCAGGTTTATATTCCTCTGTATAATATAAACCTGGATATGCGTATGGAAATGTCAAGACACACAAGCCTGGAAACCCACTTCGGCCAATCATTAGCCAGATACCCACACCCACGTACAGACTGGCGAAGCGACTCAACGGCCTGCTGACTCCTTATGTCCCTTGCGCCTTCAGCCTGAAGTCTCCAAAGGAATTTGTTGACTTACTGCGGGGCACACGGGCCACAGGGATAAGAGCCTCGTTGAACGTAGAATCACTGTTTACCAACGTACCTGTGGACGAGACAATCGGGATGATAGCTGACAGAGTGTATCGTGATCCGGCCTGCACTCCTCTTGACATACCAGAAAACATCCTAAGGAAACTACTCCAAGCTTGTACTAAAGAGGCACCCTTCTTGAGCCCGGATGGGCACATGTATAAGCAAGTAGATGGGGTCGCCATGGGTTCTCCCCTAGGTGTCCTGTTTGCAAACTTCTACATGGGTACCACCGAGCAAAAAGTCTTAGTCGACATGAACTTGAAACCGGCCATATACTGCAGGTATGTTGACAACATTTTTACACAGGTACCTGATGTCAGACATCTGCAGAAGCTGAAGGAGGCATTTGAGCAGAGTTCCGTGCTGCGTTTCACTTACGAGATGGAAAAGGATGGGAAGCTGCCCTTTCTAGATGTAACAGTCATGGAAAAGAGCGGAGGTTTCCACACTGCAGTCTACACTAAGGAAACGAACATAGGAATGTGCCTAAATGCCAACAGCGACTGCCCAGACAGGTACAAGAGGAGTGTTGTTAACGCATATGTCGACCGTGCTCTAAGCCACAGCTCAGAATGGAAGCAAGTCGACGAAGACCTCTGTAGGGTAAGGCAGGTCCTAGTCAACAACGGCTTCTCCAATGGTTTCCTCGAAGACATCATAAAACATTCGCCAACGTAAAAGTAAAATAAAGGAAAGGAAAACGCCATGCAACCTCTGAAGAGACAACTAACACAACACCTATACCCCCTATTAGACTATTTTACAGGAACTTCTTTTCCACAGCTCATAAAACAGAGGAAAGGGTCCTGAAAGATATTGTTAATAGAAACGTTATCCCTACAGACAAAAATCAGAGGATACAACTGACGATTTACTATAGAACCAGAAAAACGGCCAGCCTACTTATGAGAAACTCTCCAGACACAAAGCAGAACGCTTTAAAAGAGACCAACGTCGTCTATGCCTTCAAATGCCCACTTGGGGACTGTAAGCTCCAAAAAACCCAGTATATAGGCAAGACAGCAACATCTCTTTCTAGGCGTTTAACGATGCATAAACAACAGGGCTCCATTAAGGAACATATAATCTCTTCCCACAACCAAACCATCGCCAGAGAAATCCTAGTAAACAACACAGAAATCATCGATAGATACAGCGATAGCAGGCGGCTCGACGTTTGTGAGGCACTACACATTAAAAAGTCAACACCAGCAATCAACAGCCAATTAATGCACAACTATATTCTACCCACCTCAAGACTCCGCTCCAATATAGAAGCATCAAGAAAAATGGACCAATAGGCTTTCTACAATCACTTCCATTTCAATACCCATTGTTTCGTGTTCTGTCTTGTGTTGATGATATTAATACCCTATTAATGCCACCTCTTGTTCTGTCTTGTTTTGATGAAATTAATACCCTATTAATGCCACCTCACCCCATCCACCTCACTCAAATGTAGATATAAACAAAATCGGAGATATGTAAGTTCTATTCAGTTGTGTATTTGTAAACTAAAGTCTTTGAAAATGTAATAAGTTTTACGAAATGCGCTCGTGTCTCGTCAGACTAGAAATAAAAATGAATTTTGGAGAATTGATTTTTGAATTACCTCCAACAGTGAAAAGAAATGTACGAAAGATTGAGAAAATTCGTGTTAGAATTATTAATCTTACTTTTTCGGTCATATTTAATAATATATATATATATATATATATATATGCGAACATGCCTGAATGTTCGCGTAATGTAAGTTAAATGTTTGTCCGGCCGTGATGGTCAAGCGGATTAAGGCGCCCTGTAGTTACCAGTTGCGTTGCTCCTGGGAGTATGGGTTCGAGTCACTTCTGGGGTGTGAGTTTTCAGTCGTCATATATATATATATATATATATATATATATATATATATATATATATATATATATATATATATATATATATATATATTTACTCATAGGTGATGTGGCACAGTGGAATTTTCCGTCAATAGAAACAGAGATATCATTGCCACATTTCGCTATAAATTCACCAGCTATTCTGTTAGGAATTACTCTTAATTCAGCAGTGTTTGGACTTTTAACATCAAAAAAACATCTTATTTGAATTAACTTAATTATCAGTACCAAAACAGAGTAAATGTGACCTTTCTACCACTTGTTGCCATCTGGACAAGATAGCCAGGGCGTCAGTGGTGGGGAGTAGTCAGCCATTATAGCTTGACCAGTATCAGGAGCAAATTTAGCTCCTAGAATTCTCCCTTGGAAAGCTGTGTTACAGGAGTAAAGTGCTTCTGTTATCGACACGCAGCTACGTCTACTATAAGGTAAGTGTATTATCGAAACCCGTGTATTACCACATTCCTGACCAGTTATGTTAGGTTGATATAGGAGGAATCGGTTAGGACGCACGAAACCGACTTAACCCTGGTAATTATTCCTTGGTCCTTGTCTTATAAATAATATACCAATATTTCCTCTGATATAGCTGTCATATATATATATATATATATATATATATATATATATATATATATATATATATATATATATATATATATATATATATATATATATGCGATATATATATATATATATATATATATATATATATATGCGATATATATATATATATATATATATATATATATATATATATATATATATATATATATATATATATATATCATATATATATATATATATATATCATATATATATATATATATATATATATATATATATATATATATATCATATATATATATATATATATATATATCATATATATATATATATATCTTCAAGGATTATTTGGTGTCATCATCCTTGTTTATACATGGTGGACCAGGCCTACCATACAAGACCTCAAAATTTCCATTACTAATATATGTAGTTTAATACTGTAGTTTGATTGGCTGCATATATAAATTTAATATAAACCCCTCCTAATGTGCAAGGAGTCGGTTTGTGAGAATATTGCTGAAATACAGTCCACTAAACATCATACAAATAGCTATCGAAATATATAAAATAATGTAAATATAAACACTATAAATTCATATAAATTAAATCAATATAAATCTCACAGGTCAGTTCCCCACAAGTAGCCTATAGGTCGTAAATATTTGGAGTGAATGTGCTCTTTCATTATGAAGTTTAGTTAGGATAAAGTAGTACTTCAGGACAGTTTGTTAAGTCAGGGTATATATCAACACGTGTTGTCGAGTACTGTATATCAATATGTATATACTTTTCATGTAAATATATACATGGTGAAAATTAATGGAAAAATGTTTGAGAAATACTACAATATTTCAGTTAGTGCTTTGAGACTCTTTCAACTAAGAGTCCCTCTTGGGACTCTTAGTTGAAACTCGTATGCAGGGAAGATGTTCAGTGATACTTAATCCTTTATGACTCGATGGATCTCGCCTGCCCAAGCGAGATGCATACCATTAATACCACACTATTTATTTACAGTGAAGTACTGTACCTTATCTCTGGTACTGTTAGAATGGGGTTACTAGTGCTGGTAACAAGCCAGCCATCAAAGACACAGTTGGATTAAACAGTTAAACATTAAGGTAAAGTTTCACCACTCACTGCTCATGGTAGACTCTGGGTTGCCTTGCTGTGCTGCCATCTCCACCAGGTACTTGTCTATGTAGTCCTTAGGATTGTTGGGGTCTAGTTTGGCCTCGTGCTCATCCACCACTCTCTGTACTCAGGACGAAGAGTGCACATGTTAGAGGTGAGTGCATGTGTTGTATAGTCAAGAATAAGTTCTCCAGATTCATGATGGTAATGCAAGTTTTTGTGTGTGTTTACCACACAATTGGTGTGGTAAACTGTGACGAGTTGGTCGCATGCCTAACTTAATAAGTAATAATGCTAAAATGTTCAGCAAGACCTATGTCAAGTGAGAGCAACTGTGGGATAATATCCTACCAGGAATTTGTTTGATTGTTACTCAATATAATTAGTCCATAATTTAATTTGAATAATTAAGTATTGATAAATGGACTGTAATTTAAGTTATTTAAGTGGACTGTACGTTTAAGCTATGTTCCTGCCAAGTGTTAAACACTTCACACTATTTGGGGGGGGGGTGGGGTGGATTTCGTAATCTATACCACCTGTGGTGGATAACAAGACTGAAAGGATTAGTCGTCTACAAGTTAGTAATTAAGCAGTTGACTTTTTAGCTTCAACGTAGTAATGGCCTGATCTCAGGTCCTAGAATTCCTTCCGCCATAGACACGTAATCAGGCTAGAAGGCAAGGCAATAACATCTGGAGTAACCTCGTGACACTACATGTGATCTGGCAAATCCTTGTGATACTACAGGAGATCTGACGTCCATCTCTGGTATATTGTCTGCCGAATAAATGTTGAGTAGTGCGCTATTATCAATACGCGAATATATTGAAGAAAAATGAGTAAGCGTTAGTTTTATGGCTTACCCAGTTTGTTTATAGCACCTGTATTATAACCGGGCATTGTCTTACTAATCATGTAAATGGCCACTATATAATTTACGACTAATACTCGGGTAAGATACTTTCCTTAATGTAGAGCTCGACGGTTGGGCGGAATCTTGTTGTTCCTGTATCGTAAGACTCGGGAAAGTTGTAGGTGTTAATTATGCGGAAATACGAGTACTTGACGCGATAAGTTACTTGGAGCATAAGTATGGCGTCAATTTTTTAAGAGAGCTAGTACATCTGTGCTGACTGGTGTGGTGGGGTGTGTGCTGACTGGTGTGGTGGGGTGTGTGCTGACTGGTGTGGTGGTGTGTGTGCTGACTGGTGTGGTGTGTGCTGACTGGTGTGGTGGGGTGTGTGCTGACTGGTGTGGTGGGGTGTGTGCTGACTGGTGTGGTGGGGTGTGTGCTGACTGGTGTGGTGGTGTGTGTGCTGACTGGTGTGGTGTGTGCTGACTGGTGTGGTGGTGTGTGTGCTGACTGGTGTGGTGGGGTGTGTGCTGACTGGTGTGGTGGGGTGTGTGCTGACTGGTGTGGTGGGGTGTGTGCTGACTGGTGTGGTGGGGTGTGTGCTGACTGGTGTGGTGTGTGCTGACTGGTGTGGTGGTGTGTGTGCTGACTGGTGTGGTGGGGTGTGTGCTGACTGGTGGGGTGTGTGCTGACTGGTGTGGTGGTGTGTGTGCTGACTGGTGTGGTGGGGTGTGTGCTGACTGGTGTGGTGTGTGCTGACTGGTGTGGTGTGTGCTGACTGGTGTGGTGTGGTGTGTGCTGACTGGTGTGGTGGGGTGTGTGCTGACTGGTGGGGTGTGTGCTGACTGGTGTGGTGGGGTGTGTGCTGACTGGTGTGGTGGGGTGTGTGCTGACTGGTGGGGTGTGTGCTGACTGGTGTGGTGGGGTGTGTGCTGACTGGTGTGGTGTGGTGTGTGCTGACTGGTGTGGTGGGGTGTGTGCTGACTGGTGTGGTGGGGTGTGTGCTGACTGGTGTGGTGTGGTGTGTGCTGACTGGTGTGGTGTGGTGTGTGCTGACTGGTGTGGTGTGGTGTGTGCTGACTGGTGTGGTGGGGTGTGTGCTGACTGGTGTGGTGTGGTGTGTGCTGACTGGTGGGGTGTGGTGTGTGCTGACTGGTGTGGTGTGGTGTGTGCTGACTGGTGTGGTGTGGTGTGTGCTGACTGGTGGGGTGTGGTGTGTGCTGACTGGTGTGGTGGGGTGTGTGCTGACTGGTGTGGTTGGGTGTGTGCTGACTGGTGTGGTGGGGTGTGTGCTGACTGGTGTGGTGGGGTGTGTGCTGACTGGTGTGGTGGGGTGTGTGCTGACTGGTGTGGTGTGGTGTGTGCTGACTGGTGTGGTGGGGTGTGTGCTGACTGGTGTGGTGGGGTGTGTGCTGACTGGTGTGGTGTGGTGTGTGCTGACTGGTGTGGTGTGGTGTGTGCTGACTGGTGTGGTGTGGTGTGTGCTGACTGGTGTGGTGGGGTGTGTGCTGACTGGTGTGGTGGGGTGTGTGCTGACTGGTGTGGTGTGGTGTGTGCTGACTGGTGTGGTGTGGTGTGTGCTGACTGGTGTGGTGGGGTGTGTGCTGACTGGTGTGGTGGGGTGTGTGCTGACTGGTGTGGTGGGGTGTGTGCTGACTGGTGTGGTGGGGTGTGTGCTGACTGGTGTGGTGGGGTGTGTGCTGACTGGTGTGGTGGGGTGTGTGCTGACTGGTGTGGTGTGGTGTGTGCTGACTGGTGTGGTGTGGTGTGTGCTGACTGGTGTGGTGGTGTGTGTGCTGACTGGTGTGGTGGGGTGTGTGCTGACTGGTGTGGTGGGGTGTGTGCTGACTGGTGTGGTGGGGTGTGTGCTGACTGGTGTGGTGGGGCGTGTGCTGACTGGTGTGGTGTGGTGTGTGCTGACTGGTGTGGTGGGGTGTGTGCTGACTGGTGTGGTGGGGTGTGTGCTGACTGGTGTGGTGGGGTGTGTGCTGACTGGTGTGGTGGGGTGTGTGCTGACTGGTGTGGTGGGGTGTGTGCTGACTGGTGTGGTGGGGTGTGTGCTGACTGGTGTGGTGGGGTGTGTGCTGACTGGTGTGGTGTGGTGTGTGCTGACTGGTGTGGTGTGGTGTGTGCTGACTGGTGTGGTGGGGTGTGTGCTGACTGGTGTGGTGGGGTGTGTGCTGACTGGTGTGGTGGGGTGTGTGCTGACTGGTGTGGTGGGGTGTGTGCTGACTGGTGTGGTGTGGTGTGTGCTGACTGGTGTGGTGTGTGCTGACTGGTGTGGTGTGGTGTGTGCTGACTGGTGTGGTGGGGTGTGTGCTGACTGGTGTGGTGGGGTGTGTGCTGACTGGTGTGGTGGGGTGTGTGCTGACTGGTGTGGTGTGGTGTGTGCTGACTGGTGTGGTGGGGTGTGTGCTGACTGGTGTGGTGGGGTGTGTGCTGACTGGTGTGGTGGGGTGTGTGCTGACTGGTGTGGTGTGGTGTGTGCTGACTGGTGTGGTGTGGTGTGTGCTGACTGGTGTGGTGTGGTGTGTGCTGACTGGTGTGGTGTGGTGTGTGCTGACTGGTGTGGTGGGGTGTGTGCTGACTGGTGTGGTGTGTGCTGACTGGTGTGGTGTGGTGTGTGCTGACTGGTGGGTGTGGTGTGTGCTGACTGGTGGGGTGTGGTGTGTGCTGACTGGTGTGGTGTGTGCTGACTGGTGTGGTGGGGTGTGTGCTGACTGGTGGGGTGTGGTGTGTGCTGACAGGTGTGGTGGGGTGTGTGCTGACTGGAGTGGTGTGGTGTGTGCTGACTGGTGGGGTGTGGTGTGTGCTGACTGGTGTGGTGTGGTGTGTGCTGACTGGTGGGGTGTTGTGTGCTGACTGGTGTGGTGTGTGCTGACTGGTGTGGTGGGGTGTGTGCTGACTGGTGTGGTGTGTGCTGACTGACTGGTGTGGTGTGTGCTGACTGGTGTGGTGTGGTGTGTGCTGACTGGTGGGGTGTGGTGTGTGCTGACTGGTGTGGTGTGTGCTGATTGGTGTGGTGTGGTGTGTGCTGACTGGTGGGGTGTGGTGTGTGCTGACTGGTGTGGTGTGTTCTGACTGGTGTGGTGGGGTGTGTGCTGACTGGTGTGGTGTGGTGTGTGCTGACTGGTGTGGTGGGGTGTGTGCTGACTGGTGTGGTGGGGTGTGTGCTGACTGGTGTGGTGGGGTGTGTGCTGACTGGTGTGGTGGGGTGTGTGCTGACTGGTGTGGTGGGGTGTGTGCTGACTGGTGTGGTGTGGTGTGTGCTGACTGGTGTGGTGTGGTGTGTGCTGACTGGTGTGGTGTGGTGTGTGCTGACTGGTGTGGTGGGGTGTGTGCTGACTGGTGGGGTGTGGTGTGTGCTGAGTGGTGTGGTGTGTGTGCTGACTGGTGTGGTGTGTGCTGACTGGTGTGGTGTGGTGTGTGCTGACTGGTGTGGTGTGGTGTGTGCTGACTGGTGTGGTGGGGTGTGTGCTGACTGGTGTGGTGTGTGCTGACTGGTGTGGTGGGGTGTGTGCTGACTGGTGTGGTGTGGTGTGTGCTGACTGGTGTGGTGTGTGCTGACTGGTGTGGTGTGGTGTGTGCTGACTGGTGTGGTGGGGTGTGTGCTGACTGGTGTGGTGGGGTGTGTGCTGACTGGTGTGGTGGGGTGTGTGCTGACTGGTGGGGTGGGGTGTGTGCTGACTGGTGTGGTGGGGTGTGTGCTGACTGGTGTGGTGTGGTGTGTGCTGACTGGTGTGGTGGGGTGTGTGCTGACTGGTGTGGTGTGTGCTGACTGGTGTGGTGTGGTGTGTGCTGACTGGTGTGGTGGGGTGTGTGCTGACTGGTGTGGTGTGTGCTGACTGGTGTGGTGTGGTGTGTGCTGACTGGTGTGGTGTGGTGTGTGCTGACTGGTGTGGTGTGGTGTGTGCTGACTGGTGTGGTGTGTGCTGACTGGTGTGGTGTGGTGTGTGCTGACTGGTGTGGTGTGGTGTGTGCTGACTGGTGTGGTGTGTGCTGACTGGTGTGGTGTGGTGTGTGTGCTGACTGGTGTGGTGTGGTGTGTGCTGACTGGTGTGGTGGGGTGTGTGCTGACTGGTGTGGTGTGTGCTGACTGGTGTGGTGGGGTGTGTGCTGACTGATGTGGTGGGGTGTGTGCTGACTGGTGTGGTGGGGTGTGTGCTGACTGGTGTGGTGGGGTGTGTGCTGACTGGTGTGGTGTGGTGTGTGCTGACTGGTGTGGTGTGTGCTGACTGGTGTGGTGTGGTGTGTGCTGACTGGTG